TGCTGTGGCATATCTCTGATAGAAGTATTTTGTGCTGCTTACGTTCATTGTTGCACCCGGATAGGCAATCTGGTTGTAAAAATGTACACCGTTCTGAAAAGTGTGAGCAAATATGAGGTTTGTTTCATTGTCAGGCATTATTACAAATTTACTTGCCGCCTAGGGATCGGCCAGCGTTTTGACAACTTGTTCACCGGCAAGCATGAAACGGCGTACTTGGTTGATAGGATGAACGAAAGTGGTATTATTTTTGTAGCAGGCTTCGCAATGATAGATATAGCTATGAAGAATTGGCGCGATTCACTGCGAAGCAACTTTCAGATTCTTTGTTCTTGATGGTTGATGTCAATTTGAGTTATGCATTTTTTGGGATTCGGGTATTTTAAACCATTTACTAGAAATATAACGTTTCGGGACTTAGAGTGCAATCTTTAGGTACATGCGGTCTTCTAAAATTAATCAAAGGCCTGGAAAAATTACGATAAATTTTTTTTTAGAAGTGTAAAACTAGTATACAAAACCACCAGTCGGTAAACATGTGATGTGATATCGATACATGATGGCTACCCAGATTGGATATAATTGAGTATAAAAGGTGATCTGTATAATTCTGTGAACTAGCGTGTACGCAAGAGTCATAGTTTATTTCTTCAACCCCGCGTCTCTTTTACCATATCTCTACTAATCTGATAACATCTGTACCGAATTGTTACTGTTGCTTTGTCCCCTTCTCTGTCGACAGTGCTTGCTCACAAGATAGCTTCATGTTTAAAGATATGTAATTTCCCAACCATTGAGATGATTTTTCTGCCTTGCTCCCAAGAGCATCTTTAAAGCCACATACTCATTTGGATGAGTAGGACTTGAACTCCACTGTTACAACCTGCAACTTTGGTATCTGGCTCTATCTTTATAGCTTTGGACCTCTATCCTTCTGTACGTACTTATTCTAGTAGCCTGACATACACGCCCGGTTGTCCATAATATAGCGTATACTCGCCATGAGATCGTAAAAAGGATATTGGGCTGAATATGCCGCTTCAAGTCCAGGGGCAGCACTATTGTCAAGAGTGTGTAAATATATGCGCCTACAGTCTGGATCCAAGGCTGTATTCAGCATTTCTGCGAGTATTTTATAACTATATAATTTTTAAATTCAGTACCTATTGAGATATATATCAAGGTTTTTAATTATTATCAGTTTGCCCATTTTCCAACAGTTGAAACTATTGGATCCACAAATACTAGATTCAGTTTTTGATAATGACACTATTGCAAACCACCGATTAGAAGATATGATCACTGCGTCCACAACCACGGTACCGTTTTATCTTCATTAGAAATCATCATCATTTTTTAGGTTATAGAGAGAGATATAGAGATGATGAATTGTACCACAGATTCGCTACGCCACTGTATGAAGGAGACACGGCTTAAGCAGTTGCTGCACGAAATGTCATCAAAATGATTTTGAAGGAAGTGAAGCCGGAGTGCTCTAGATTTTATGCCTAATTAATGCACGACATCGGTATTTTATGAAAGTACAATCGATCTGATATATTTTAAGTTTGCGTGAATCCTGGTAATTTAATAAGACCAATTGCGTTGCACCACCCATCGTATGAACTTTAACTTAATTTTATTGGATGATCTGTATAGGTGGAGGTCAATTTGTACAGCTTGCGGTTTTTGCTTAATATTTTCCACTACTGGGATGGATCACTATGACGCCTTTTACTTCATAAGCACTATAACTTGTGCAATTTCTTTCAAGAATAATGAAGAACTAGATACAAACATGCCATCTAGTCTTAGCTGCATTGGGAGTAAGTAGGGTATAAAAATACCCCGTCACCCACCAGTTTCAGTAAATCTAAAAGTAAAGGGGTCAGCGTCTAGTAAATAGCTTAACCAAGCGAATATGACGTGATTTGCATTTGCTTTTGATGTGCTTGTAAAAATATGGTATTCCAGTTAATGTTGTGTGTTATTGGTTCGATACTCTGGGCACAATATTGTGCTAGTTTTTGAATGATCAAACTGCTTCTACCTAATGGCATACTCACTTATTGGCGTGAAACATTGTAAGCAGAGAGGCAAAGATTCCAGGCAATGATCTCTTCGAGTTTACTATTGTAAAATAGTAGCATCTGAGAAGCTGGGATCTGCATAATTGATAACCTGTAACTATTTTGCCAGAAGATTCTCGATCGCACGCGATAATTGATATAACGAAAGCAAGTTTACAATAACATACTTGTAGGACTGGCAAGAAAAATACACATAATACTGATGAAACACTGATGCTTTCATAAAGCGAATCATTCCCCAGTTATTGTAGTACGCAGTAACTTATGTGAATGCGGCAATATTTATCCAGATGCCATTTGCGGTGCTTTTCTTTGCAAGCGGAAACTATCAACTTGACGTAGGCAGAAGTCATACTGTCACTCAAAGCCAGTCATGTGCCTCAACCGAGAATATGTTATAAGGATTGGAAAAAGCACCGTTCCACACTGATTGAACTTCGCGTTCGCACACCGACGTGAATATCTATAACAAACTCTTAACGACTTTGCCGTACGACATGATTCGATTAGATTTTTGAAAACGTATCAACCTTCTTACAAAGAAGGTTTTTTGTTTTGCCTACAAGGGAAGCCTTTAAATGGAAAATTTCCAGCGTCTTTAAAAGGTAAATTCATTCTGAAACGACTCAGAACTTAGTTTGAACTCCTGTTGAAGAAAAATCTAGGCCATGGAGTAAATACTCTACAGTTTCAAAGGTTTCCTAAGTTCAAAACCTCGAAATGAAACGTGTGTCTTATTTCCGATATTGCTTATGTCGAACACTAACCTATCACGTGTCCAATATCTTCAGAATATGCTCTGTCAAACTATAGCGTTGAACAAGCTTATATCACTCAGTAACTTCTACCTTTGCAATAAACACACGAAATCGCTTAAAAATGGATAGCTCTCTATCTGTGCATTCTGTGTAGCTGAAAGGCATTTTGTTCATGCTACAGTGAGTTATTAGACAACTACGATTAGTTTCCAGATTTAAAATACCCTGAAACTATAGTACTGAATCTTTAAGTGGTGCGACCCAGATATGTGTTTACTATATCCGAAATTAATCTCAAATCCAAAAGCATGCGGTAACGAAGTTTTGTTGTCAAACGGGAATCAATCTACGAACAATTGCCCTAAATTTAAAAAAGTAATTCTGGTAACAACATTTTCTCAGAAGCTCTTATTTTAATATCCTATATCTGTTTCTTTTGGTTTCTAGAATAGTCATAAAAGTTTTTTAATCAACCCAATTGCTTCGATATGGGTAATGGCTTTACTAATAAAGGCGAATGTGTCTGCGTTTTGGAAGACTTCATTACTATTTCGTGACGTCCACTGTTGGACACGAAATGGTTTTCAGCTTCACAAAAAATGACCAGCATGCTTTATTACATAATAACAACATATCTGGGCCATCAAATCACGAATGTAACATTAGAGCAATAAAGCAGCCATTTACTTGGACTTTTTCCAAGAGAGATTAAATTCCTTTTACTACATGAAATTTTTAGTCATCACTCGGAAGTGTTGGAGAACGTAATCGACAGAGACCGCACACAGCCTTCTATCACGTAACATAAAATATTCAGTGCGCATTAGGCAGTATACAAACTACTCTGGATTCAAACTAGATAAATATTATTGGAAATAAGTGAAGTTGAGTAATTATGTACAATTTCTAGGAAAAGTATACGGCGGTTCATTACCTCTTTATTGTGTAAAAGTTTTCATCATTATGTAAATTGAAAAGTGTGTGAACAGATCAAAAGTTTAAAGCAGAGATAAGCTGGACATCTATATAAGGTGTTTCGTGGGGAACAAAATGGGGAAATGATAGACAATATCGATCACGGCCTTTTTGTATTTGAAAATTAAAAGTCTAAACTCATTTACTCCTTCAATCTTTCACAATATTAAAGTTACCTGGATACCAACATTACATTAGTATTAAACATATGAAAAATCTCCTGAGTCGTCCAATAATGGTAGTTGACTTTGAATATTCATTCGTTAATGGATAAATATGGATTAGAAACTCATGGAAGGAGTTCACTATCATGATCTGAGAAATCGCTAATTCCACCGAACATGCCCTCAGTCTCAATAGAATAAATGGGGTAGATATGCGTTCATATGTGTACTCGACGTCTTTCTTAGGCGAGGCAAGCTGAATGCTCTAGACCAGAGTTCCCCAAAATTTTTTGTGTCGTAGACCCCTTGCCATGTTTTTCCGTGTTGGGTAGACCTCCTACTTACCTGATATTGATTTCCTGTAAATTTCTAACTATAGTGAAGTTTAGCGTTAAAAACTTAAAGTAAAAACACATGTTAATTTATACATTTATTAATTGAATTTAAATTAAAACTACTCAAAATAAAATTTTGTATCTGTTATGTAAAATATACGTAACATTAAATAAACAGGTGTCTGACCAATAAGTGCCCGCATTGGGAACAAGTGCCCGCATTGAAAAAAAATAAGAGGGACAAAATAAAAAAAAAGTGAAAAATAGTAAAAAAAAATTTGTTTACTTAAAATAGTACAATAAGCGAGTTCGTTTATTAATTATTACATAAACGTATGTTCTACAATAATTTAACCGTTAGTTTGATTAAATTCCGCTTCTTATACGTTTAAGTTATATAAAAATAGGCCAAAAATTATCGAATTTTAGTGTGTACCTATCCTTGAATTTTCAGGATAATTTAAAAAAAAATATTTTCTACAAAGGGGGGTTCTTTAAAAAAATCAATGCGGCACTTATTCCCAATGCAAGCATTTATTGGTCAGACACCAATAAACATAAAATAAACTATAAATAAAATCACATAAGCAATAAGTCAATATTTTTAGTGAGAAGGATGAACCTGATGCTTTAATAATAAATTATCAACATTTGGCGTCAATTTTGTAAGGGTTAATCTTAAATCTCCTCGGCTCCAGTCTGTTTCTTTTTTTCGTTAGGAGATTGGTAACAGCGCTGAACCCCCTTTCCACTAGGTATGACGATGGAAAGGAAATTAAAAATTTCCTCGCTATATTCCATAATACGGGAAACTAACGGGTATGTTGTTTTGCAGCCAGAATTGCTGATATCCGTTTTTAAACTGAACCTTAAGTTCTTCGTTTGTACTTAGTTCAGTCAGTTCATCTTGTATTATGACATTCGCTTCTTATATGTCACCGTATGGATTAATTATCCACGGTGGTATTGCCATAGTCAAAATATCCTCAAACCTAGATTCAAAATCTGAATAGAGGGCATTTAAATGTTGAACGTAAGTTGAAACGTCGTCTTCGTGGCAGCTTGTCTGTGACAAATTGGGGAACTGAGAAAATTCGCCTCGTCCAATATTTTGCTTCATTAGTTTAACTCTGGCGAGAAACGCTGATAAGATGGACTGTTTTAATCAAATTTAAACTGTCGCCTTGTAATTGCAAATTAACCAGATTAAATTTTTGTAAACAAACCTGTTAAATAGGCGATGTCTGTTTTCCTCTTCATTAAATTTTCTTTTAAAGTTTTATCTTTAGTATCCAGAAATTCTAAAATAGTCTCAAAAAGTGCAAAAAATCTGGTCAAACATAAGCCTTTCGACAGCCAGCGTACTTCAGTGTGAAGGAGTAATTGATGAAAGTGTTCATCATTTTCTTCACACAACTGCGCAAATAACCGCGTATTCAACGCGTTGCTTCGGATTCGGTTTACTGCATCAATGACTAAATTAAGTGGTTCATGCAATCTAACACTCAAATTTTTAGCAACTAAATGTTGTCGATGGGTGACGCAATGTATTGCTAACACCTTTAGTGTCGGTTATCAAAGTTCTTGCGAAGAGCAGTTCTTCGTAGATTTCTTGATTCATAATAAAACGAACATATGCCAACAATAATGTTGCATTATCAGGTAAAGTTGACTCGTCCAGTTGTATAGAGAAATGGGTCGTTTGCAAATAATTACATAAGAAGCTTTCAATATCAGAACTCATTTCATCAATACGTCTTTCAACAGTATTGTTGCTTAAGGGAATTCTTTTAATGATATCAGATGCAGGTTTGTGTAAAACAGCTCTTAAAACCTCTTCAACGGCTGGCAAAATTAACTTCTCTCCGATAGTATGCGGTTTTCCGGATTTTGCTATAAGTAACGAGATATTCTAAGACGCCCGCAAACCATCATCATTTCTTTGTGACGTCGAAGCGAACATTCTGTCCAGTGTAGGTCTCTTCTGAAATTTATCTTTGAGTGTTTGAAAGTATTTCAAATCTTTCTCTGTTTTATCAAGGAGACATCTTCTCAGATGATCTTGCAGTTTAGATGGTTTCATAGCGTCATTGCCCAAAACTTTGTTGCATAAAAGGCACATAGGCGATTGTTTGTCCGGCAATGATGGAATGAAGCCAAATTTCAAATAATCAACACTGTACTGTCTACATTTATTTTTAGATTCGGACATGGCATCAGTCATCTGTGGGCAAAATTAAATTATTTAAATAAGACAGAAAATCCAGCAGCTGTATGTTAAAAATATTTTTTGATTTTTCCGAAAACATTCCATAATTCGAACATCTTCTTGCAACAATTAACTCGAATTACGGAGATTGCACTGCAATTATATTACCGATTGCTAAAACTTTCAAAAAGAAACTATTGAGGAGTACTCGTGTAATTTTGCATGATTCAAGATTAAACTACTAATAACTAAAGTCATGATTGGCGTAATTTATCTATCTTTGCTAACTACGAGTACAAAACTAAAATTTAATAAAAAATAATGTACTTACTTTTCTCCAGCACTCTCAAACAAAATAACACTGACTCACTATAATTTGTGTGATATTCTACCTGTTTATATTTTTTAAAATATTTTCTTAACACTTTCCTTTTCAAGATTCAGGAAACAAATAAACGTATTTGTCCCACATTCGTATTTATTGAGTGACGAATTGAACAAGTCAGTGCAAGGTAGCGAAGCTCTGAGACTGCGACTCTCATGTTTTTACAAGTTCAAAATGTATTGCGACTACAAAGCGAATACCATCCTACAACTTACACAATTTTATAAACATACATAATAAATTTTTTACTTCATAGGTACTTTTATAAATAATGTATATGTTTTGATATTATAAGATAGTATGATGTAAGTAAATAGGTACTATCAGTGTATGTGTTGAGATCCACTATCGTGGACCCCCATATTCATTTCATTGACCCCCAAATTTTTTTTCGCTGACGTAGATCCCTTGCAGGTTGTTATAGACCCCTAGGGGTCGATATAGACCACTTTGGGAGCCAATGCTCTAGACGATCTCTGTGTTTTTTTACGTTTCGTGTTATTTTTTAAATATCTATGTGAGTTGAGGTGATGTGTGACATTGCTTGTATCATGTTTGTTGCATCTGAATTGCGTCGATGCAGACGACACATAATCTAACCGTCGGCTGCTGAGTAAGACACGTGTTTAAGCATTAGTTATTTGGTCCAGAAATCCGAAGACTGAGACTAATGGCATGTTTGAGTTACTGGATTAAGAGCTAGCTTTTCTCGTAGCAATATAGTGAATTCCTGATGACATTTTATTTTCTATTAAACATTCCAACATGAGATGCATAGGAAAATACTAACTTGATAAAACATTCGACTGGAGACTGCATCATGGCTTTCTTCTACATGAGTAGCTGTAAGTCTTTGGTTGTACGACGTAATCTTAGCCGCGCATTTTAATAAGATATAAGGGTTCCTAGGTAATTGACACCCACGACAACTACTCTCACCATAGACAGAATTGAATTTCAAATGTCCTCTTTGTTACTAAGCATCGTTTAATATTCCGCGTAGCATCATAAAAGGTAAACAGCTGTGTGGTGATTTACAGGTTTTCAGAATCTCTTCCATCATTATGGAAATTTGACAGCGGAGAGCACCTGCGTAAAATGTGATTTATAGATTTATGAAAACAGAAGTTATTCTCCAAACCTGTAAATTATCATAAAGCTATCTAACTTTTAGTGGCCCACGCGGAATATTACATGATTTTGTTTAGTAACAGAAGATAATTGTCTGCTTGAAACTTAAAGCTTCTCTAACCTCACATTGCTTACTTGACCAACTTGACACGGTTGCCAATTATTTAGGCAGTTTGGTCCATTTCGGAAAAAAATTTTGTGTTTATGGGAGTATCAGACCTTCCAAGTGCTGCGATGCTTACTTGGTCAGGTAAGTTTGCAGCTTTGCTCCATGTTAAATGGTCATCAACATTTATTTTTCTTTTTTTCGGTTTTTGATTGATCTTTACAGGAGGAAAGTTCACAATTTTGGTACTGTTGTCCCATATTCACCCATTCTGGAGTACCGAGCTTATTATTTTCATATGACCGCGTCGTCACAACAACTACGTTTGCAATACCAACGCTAATTTGAGGTACAATAACACAGAAAACGTAAAAAAAGAAATTGAAGAAAAATACTCACTATTTCAAGTACTGCCCCGTCATGTGTTTTGTTTGTAAACACTGCCTGATGTCGCAGTTCGATTCAAAAAGGCAAGTTTGTTAACATCTTCCTAAATTTGTAGCATTTGGGGCTGTTTCTTCAATTGTGTTCAACCAGATGGCTTTTGCACGATATGAACAAACATGTTTATGCATCTCCGATGGAAAGAAACATCGAAGAAATCAATAACGACGTTATTGCTCTAGAAATCTGCCAATTTTGGTTTTTAAAATGTGGGTTGTTTATAAACTAGCTTACCTTAGACACCACGCGAGGCCTGATTTGGGTACTGAGTCACAGAGTCTCAGGACGTCAACATGATTCAGCTTAAGGTATTGTCGTACTGGTCCATGTATTGCTGTTTGGAACCTAATACCTTATAGCTTAGTTATACGGTGCTTTTCTTTAATGTCCCCTCTCCTTTGATTTTTTGAACGGATCAATTCAAAAAACTAAAACTTGAGATACTTAAATTGATGCGTCGATTTTAGAATAAAATTGACAGATGAAAATGTCAAGATGGCCCCTGTGCGCCATCTTGGACAAAAAGTTATGTGAAAACGGGGGTCTTCTGGCTCACCATTTTGAAGCCTCTGACGAGTACTTATAACCCTAGAATATAATGTTAATACCGTTACCTACTACAAAATGGTGGTACATTTAATAATTAATTAATAAGTTAGGTTTAGAGGATGCTGGAAATGGTTGCCTTGAACTTCTTGACACAATAACAGTCGGTCCGTAATTTCGCGCCGAACGTTTTCAAACATAGTAACATCGATATTTCTACAAATATTTGTTATTCTCAGCCGTATAATCAACATTGAAGCAGGTTCAGTTTCGTACACCTTTTGCTTCAAATAGCCCCATAAAAAGGTCCAAAGGTTTCAAATCTGGCGAGCAAGCTGGCCATTCCACAGGACATCGACGGGCAATCCAACGACCGGGGAAATTGTTATCTAAATAATTCTCAACTTGTCTGTAGTAGTGTGGTGGAGCACAATCTTGCTGGAATACAATATCAGTATCGAATTCATTAGGATTCGCTTCGACGATTTCGGTGATTAGAGGGTCAATAGTATTTTCCAGCATATCCAAATACAGTTCCCCGGTTAAAGTTTGTTCGATAAATAGAGACCCCACAATATGATTTCCCAATATCCCAGCCCAAACGTTAATCCTTTGTGGATATTGAGTATGAGTTTTCCGGAACACGTGACGATTGGTGTCACTCCAATAACGATATTTTTGTCTATGCACATTACCGTTGAGAAAAAATGTACAAGTTTCCTTAAATATTTTCTACGGATAGGACGATCCGGGAAATGATCATTAAAAATCCTTTCGGTCTCGTGAAAGTTACGCGTCGCACCGTAAATAAAAATCGCTTCGATTTTTTCCTGCAATGGACGAGAATTGACCATTTTGAAAATAGTTCAAACAGTATCAAGCACTAAAACCGAAAACTAAATAAGAATATTTTAACTGCAAAATGATGTTTGTTTTCGTACTGATATTCTTGTCACTGTCAACAAAAAAAAATAACAAAACAAGTTTTTATCACTCTTGCTCTGGATATGGCAGGGATTTACAATTATTTGTAGAGATATGCATGTTAGTGGGTTTGTGTTCAAGTAATTATTAAATGTACCACCATTTCGTAGTAGGTAAAGGTATTGACTTTATATTCTATGGTTGTAACGTACTCGCCAGGAGCTTTAAAATGGTGTGCTGCACGACATTTCGTCTTCATGTAATTTTTTTCCAAGATGGTGCCCAGTGGCCATCTTGACATTTTCATCTGTCAATTTTACTCTAAAATATGGCACCCACGCATCAATTTGATTACCTCAAGTTTTAATTTTTTGAATCGATCCGTTCAAAAAATTAAAGGGGAGGGGACTTTAAAGAAAAGCACTGTATATGTTAGGTTATAAAAGACATGCTTATTACGCTCTGTAAGGTCCCACCTTTGCTGTGTTACTGCGCTAACGATAAAAACAAGAGCTGTCACAGAAGAATACACAATGAATAAGACATTAACCCTCGTTTTTACCATGCAATTTATTATGTTGTGAATCAGCGTACTTTATTATAGATTTAAAATACGAAGTGTTGTGACCATGCGATTTTAAAAAAACAGTAAAGTAAATATTTGAAACTTGAGCTTTTCACAAAAATTACAAATCTACGAATATTTGGGTTTTAAGGGACAATGAAGTACCAAAACAAAAAAAAATTGTCGAAGCAAATTTAAAAGTTGCAGAAATTTTATAGATAGATATAGAGATCAACTTCAAATTTGGGTTCTTTTCAGTGCCAAAAAATCCACTTATGGGCCCTGATCCCTCAAATCCCTTTGTAAAATGAAGCCTGAGATGGAATAGTCGTGTAAAATTCAATTACTGGCATTTTACTCTTATCAGTAATAATGAAATGTGAAGGCAATAAACTTATCACCTTCACGAACGGCTCTCCGTCCATCGTATTAACTGTAATACATCAGATGTGGCCCAAGAATGACCTATCCGGACAGTAAAATAAGACTGATCTAATGTAAGACAGATATACAGTTGTGACTTTATATGGCGTATAGATCTTGGAAAGTTAAGCAGTTTTTTCAGTAACATATATATTATAGTCTTACAATAACCGAGATGACAGGCTCGGCAGAATAAATCAAACCAAAACATAACCTAATCCTATCAGATTAAACGTGAACACATACGATGCGCCTTAGTAAACGAAACATTTAAGCATCGGTTACAAAAAAACAAAATTTGCACTCATACAGCAGTATCGGAGTTTTCGATAGTATTTTAATTTACGGTG